TTCAGTTCTAAAAAGCTTTAGTGAAGAAAGTGGAGCTCTAAAGCCTCACTTCCATAAAGACCTCAATACTCTTGAAAACCCGGAGTGCTTAAATCTTCAAAGGTCTACCCTTATTTAATCAAGCTGGGCAAGAAACACGTTGAGGAGGCATTCTGAAAACGATTTATAACCCACTACCCACAAAAATATCCACACAGAGTACTTATACATGCATTTAAGCAAGCTGATATCTTGGGTGCATGCAATACTGCCCGTGACACGAGAGAGGAATGGGATCTACTAATCAGCACCGGGCCACAAGACATTTTAAGTCTCTCTAAGCACTCTTACACAATATTTTTTTAAAATAATAACTGCCTTTAGAGTGTGAGCAGTTGTACAGGAAAAAGCTGCTCCATAAATTCAGCTCTTTTCAGTCTGCACTGAAGCTAAATATTTTACAGAGGCAGCATCTTTGTAATGCTTATGGTTGAACACTACTTTTGGTGGTCAAGTCTCATTATTTATAAGATCTCCAATATCCAGTTTTAGGGACTTGGCTTTTCTCAGGTCTTTCAACAAGCCAGGGGGGAAGAGAAAAAAACCCCAATATGTTCTGTCCCTTTCCTCAGGAATGGCAATCTGCTCATTTTCATAGCTGTTCCATGGTATTTTAAAGTCTGCAGTATATTTACAAATAGTATCAATACTGAGGTGGAAGAGGAAGAGTGGGGGGAGAGGACAGACTTTTTGTCATCCTCCTCCCTATTCTCAATAAGGTTCTGGATGTGTTTAAGGGCAAAAATTCCACCCCAATATATTAGTTTTGTTAATCCTTTTCTTATGATCTTGCTTGCCTGGCTAGGGAAATTATGCAAAAAGTAATAAAAGTTCTAATTCAATTTCCATGTTAAGAGATGGATTTGGAAAAAAAAATATATATATCAGAAACCATATTCTTTGTGTTTACTAAGAGATATGCACTCCAACATTTAGTGTCATGGAGCTGGAGTTAAAACCAGAAACGGCAAAGATAATTTAGCTGCATGAATGCCTGCTCTTCAGTAAAATGCTGCCAAAATTAAATAGGAATGAAACAGCACTTTGTAGTCATTGGTCGCTCAGCGGGGTTTGCGTAGTTAAAAACCTAAGTGAAAAGGGTGATTGACCTACATTGCAACTAGCTTAGCACAGCTGTACTTTCATATTTCTGCTGCATCCGAGGAAGCTCATTATTTAATACAACTGAGTTACATGTAATTGTCGGTCTTTTATTTTACACTTCTAGGGGCCAGATATTAATCTCAAATGTGCAGCAGGCGTTACCGTGCATCTGGAAACATCCACGGCTGCCCATTTGCAGGCAAGGCTAAGAGAGAAGGGATTGCATAGAGCTGCACCTGAAATTAGGAGGCTGCCCAGGGGTAGGAGAACCTCACAAATATACAGAAATCAAATGAGCAGATGGAACAGAAAGCAAATCCCTTGGCATCCCAAAAGCAAACGCTCTGCTGTTTCCCTATTGTTTTGAGCAGAAGGAGCCCAGAACGTGAAACCAAAGCACATTTCACACAACTCATACCTGCGGTTTAAATAAGTAATAACATTCCAGTTAACAACCAGTTTGACATGTTAACAGCCCAAGGGCTGTTAACATAATGACTGGTCATTAATGGCAGTAATGACAGATTTCAAAGGGAATATTGTGCTTGTAAATGGACACGCTGCCAGTCAGAAGAGAGGACAGAGGACAGATAGGCTGATGCATTAAGATGTCACCGTACAGCTCTGGAGGACAGGAAGGGGAGAAAAAAAAAAAGTTCTTGCATATTTCACTTACTATAAATGGACCTGAAATATTGGCGTAAACCTAAGTTCCTGAAATTAAGTCTTCACTTTCTAACCCAGGAGTGTATAAGCAGAAGAAGAGGCCTGCAGGGGAATTATACTCTGCATATCATTTTTGCAGAGTGTGTTACTTCTAACATTGAGCCCTTTCTTTACTCAGGTCAGTTCCTGTCCTCGTTAACAAAACTGAGCTCGTTCCTGCCACGGCCACCCCGACACCCCGGTGTCCTGTGCCACCTCGGGAACCACCCGAGTGCCTGACATGAGCCAGATTCCAGGGCAAGGCCCCCCACACCCGCAGCATCTTTCAAGCTCATTACCTCATTAAAGATTCCTTCCATTCCCTCAATCCCTCCCAATCTGGAGAAAAGGGTTTTAATGCAGTATAATTAACTAATTTTACCAAAGGAGACAGCTAAAGCAAAGCAAGTTTTGAAGTTCTGAAGATACAGAGTATTTATAAGAAGCTCAAAGTGGGGACCTCAGGGCTCGACTGCAGCGCGAGAGCGTGCATCAGGGCTGAGGGAGGGTGTAGCTCTTTTGGCAGGCATCTCTAAATGAAAGATACTGGAACTATTTTTGCAAACAGGCAGAGACACAATCACACCATTTATGAACTTAAACATGAATGCTAAAGCACCCAAACTGGCTACATGATTGCTTGTAGCATCTGTAGAATGCCTGTCTTATTGAAAGGCATAATGAACACTGAGAGACAAGTTAATAAGCAATTTTACTCTTTATAGTATCGTTCAAGCCACATATCCTCTAGAGGGCACCACATAAATTAATAGGAAGCCAGAACAGTTTTATACGCAGCAAAGACTCCCTTTATGGTTAGAAAGAAAAAAAACCCTAAGAAGATAGTTTGAAACCATAATCGAAGTCTAATGTGATCATTAGTACAATGCAATTTGTTCCTTAAATTCATATCTAGTGGGTTCCTAAATATGAAAGCTTATTCAGCTACGAAGCTAGAGAAAATTTAACTAGTTTGTATATTAGCACTAAAAAGATCACTTTTATAGGTTCACTGCATAACTAAGTAGATAAGATGCAATGAGGCAAATGACTGTCTGCAATTACCTTAAGTGCATCAGTTCGAAGTTTAGTGTAAATACCAAGTTTAAATCTATGCACTCACAAGTATCGCTCAAAATAAATAAAAAAAAAATCTTAACAAAATAGCTTCATTAAGACTCAATAAATCCACAGACAAAAATCAGAAACATCTTAAAACCAATTATAGGATTTCTCATGTGTGCTGGTTTCACATGCAAAAGTAAAAGGTGCTATGTATGAAGAAATAAATGAAAGACCAGTTTGAATATGATCATGACAGACAAAAAAAAAAATCTCCTTTCTCTGAATCACTAAGTATGAGTTTTAACAATCTGTTAGCAAAATATTTACTCCTGTTAAACCCTCAAAGACCAGAGAGCAAGAGCGTGTGTGAATGCATCTGTGCTGGGGAAATGCTTTGCTCATATCTCTCCTACCACATCATTTCTGGTTTTGATTTTAAACATTTGATTTCAAAACATTAAATCTGCTGCACAAGCACTTGGGAGATTCAGTAAGCTCAAAGTCTCCTGTAAATTTGGAACTCAGATGAAACAGCCATAGCAGTTCTCTCCCTCCTGCAGGCATTTGTTGTATAAAGATTATTAAAATGGGTTTCAAAATTGGGATGTTACTTCCTCGCACCAAAACCATTTTCAAACCCCTTCTCCACACATTTACCTAAGGACCACAAGAGACCTAAGTTCACGTACAACAATTCCCTTCTGTTCCAACAGGTTTTAAAAGTGAGGTTTTGTTACCTACTACTTTGGCAGCTTTAACACAGTGGGTTTAAGATGCAGCCTCTGTGCTATCTTGGGTTCAGTTCAGAGCTTTAATAGCAGAATACTTTTACCATTAAGTAGTCTAAGCTCATCTGAAGAACCTGATCTGCCTTTCAGCCCAAGCTCAACAAATGCATGGTGCGTTTGTGAAGATTTTTGTTCCACTCTTTTTTTCTAGAGTTGGTTACGTGGAGAGCCAGAGTACCAATCGTTGTTAGGGCTTTAGTCTTGATTCCTGTTCCACCCTGCTCATGGTACACAACTTGGGAACTGATCAGGGTGTGGGAACCTCCTGTTTGGTACCTGTACTTAAGCGGAACTTGGAAGTTAACGCATTCAAAAAGATTTTTAATTTTTCCCCAATGTATTAGTGACTTCGATGTCCCTTTAAAAGGAAAAGGCTTCACTAAAGGGGCAGGGGGAATATTCCCAGAGGTTCACCTTAGCCTGGAGCAGCTATTCCCATTAGACCCCCTCCACAGGGAATGGAGGAAAGGTGTTACTATGGGAAATAGGTGCTCGGAATCACCCTAGAGGACCCTTTTCTTTCTATTTATCATTGAGAGCCCAGGGAGACTCAACTTCCCAGTTAAACTTATATCCTGCAAAGCAGCCCTACTGACACACGATGTGGAGATAAACTATCCTGGTGCTGCTCACCAGCACTTTGCTACGAGTTATTCCTCAAGTACTTTTGGGAATGTGGGTCCACAAGAAAGCAATGAAATTGAAAAGCAGGTTCTGATTTGCTACTTCTAACAAGTGGCCACAGGTTAGCCAGATCCCACCTGGGCCACCAACTGGAACCAGGAGCAGAGTGGATTGGAGCCCAGACTTGTGGTTATTAAAAATGGGGAATTCAGTGGTTTATCCTGGTCCAGCTTCTAGCAGCTGAGTGCCCTAAAAGCTTGAGTGCCACGAACGAAATCCCTCGGCAAACTAAGAGGACAAAAGCGAAGGTGGGTGAAATGTTCCTCACCCACAGGGTTCCAACCCTGCCCTGAGGTGAAAACCACATGTGTGGTTTCAGGCTGCGACACCTGGCCACCACCGTGCTGCCAGGAGGAAGGGGAGCAGGAGACCACCGCCTCCCCAGCAGCACAGCACTGTGGGAAGCAGGGGAAAATCGCCCTCTTCTACACCAGCACCAGCATCAGAAATCTGGCAACCACCTCCACGACCTGGCTGTGTGCGCTCTTTGACCCAGATTTTAATTTAACCTCCACATTTCAGTATTTGGCTCCTCACCTCCACCAAGACCCGGCCCCGCAGCCCTGCAGGAAGGGCCGAACAGATTTCCCGAGTTTGAAGAAGGCCGTGACCTACCTCAGATAGTCTCTGCGACAAAGGATAAGGTTGGCTTTGGTGTACAAGGTAGAGCCCACCTCCCCCAGGCGACAGTCACAGCAGGCACATTTCAGGCAGTCTTCATGCCAATATTTGTCCAGGGCCTTTAGAAGATATCGGTCTTTAATCTTACGGTTGCAGCCAGCACAACCTTTCGGCTTGGTGTCTGGCTGGACTGAGAGCATTTGTATACCTGAAATACAGTAAGACAAGAGAAGACTGAAAATAGATATTCTCCCAAGTACAAAATCTCCTTCCCTTTCCTCCCTCCACCTCACCGCTCCCCCCACACCCAGTTCATTTAAAAGTCAATGGTGTAGGTCGGATAAAATAACCTAGTCAGTCTACAGCAAGCTGAAAACAAGGCTAAGATAAATCTGAGAGCAGGAACTTCCACTGCTCCGAGTTCCACAGCTTCTCTTTAACACCTCATTTACCTGGTCTCCTTGCTGAAAAGAAATAAGATTAAAAAAAACCCATGAAATATTAAAACAGTCCAGTTGAAAAGTTATCCAATTTCAGCCACAGTATCCAATATTTAGCGACGCAAAATTTAAATAAACAGCACATCTACAATACTTAACAACCCAAAATTTAAATAAACAGGCTATCCATATGGCAAACATAGTTAAATCCACATATTTGGACTTATTTATGCTATCTTTATAAAATATAAAAGCACTTCAGTTTTTAAAGAAGATTGGAGCTTTTAGAGGCATGGAGCAAGAGTGTCTGAGAGATTTGACACAGAAATTTTGATGCTGGCAAGAGGCTGTTTTGTTTTCTAATATTTTAGTTCTTTTCAGACATGTTAATGAAGCAATGAGATTTCCAAAGACTTTAGTACCAGCAATGCCAGTCACAACCTGCAGTGTAAGGACCTTCTGAAAAATCTGACTTAAAATAATCTGCACAAGGTCAGAGAGGTTCTAGTTTGTGAAGGGGAAAAAAAAAATAATAAAAGAATGCTGTCCTGCTTTCCAATCCCAGTTTTAGCCAACAGCTACTTCGGGACAAGGAGTACAGTAGTGTCCATTAAGTATATATGCACCTTTTGATGTAATAGCTGAGAGCATTTAAAAAACCATTCAAACACCTAAAACACTGTTTAATGGACAGAACCGGCGAAAAGTGGAACACAGTTGAGCGATGTTACTCAGAGCAACACAGCCAGCTTCCAGGGATCCATTCAAAAATCAATTGCCCTCGGCTTTACAGTAAATGGGGAGAGGTCACTGCCCCAAAATGCTCACAGACTGGTCTCTCTGGTTTATCTGCAGTCCCAGTGCACTCAGACTAATTCTCTCACAGTTACCTCTTAGGATAAGCAAAATAATAGCCCTGTGGATATTTTAGTGGGCACCAAGCAGGCACAGGAGAGAAGGGAAGAGCCGACACGCTGTTCAGTAGTGGGTTACCTCACTGTTTGGGAGCCAGGGATGTAACTTCAAAAAGATGCTACTCACTGGACTGCATCTGAATACTGCAACAAGAGTTTGTCAAGACAGGGGAACAAGCAAATCCTACTCCAGCATTTGGGGTTTGGAACCCTATTACTATCCAGAAACTGGGAAAGGCCAAATAGAGTCTCATGGCAAGGAGTAACAAATTCAAGAGCCCCTGATGATGAACACTCTTCTACATGGAGTTAACTTGTTTGGTTTGGTTCGTGTTTGCTTTTTTGAAATCCCTCATAAGAAAAACACGAAAACCAGCGTAACACTTGAAGCGATGGTAGAGCATGCCTTTGTGGATATTAGAGCTGCAAAGAGGCTGAGGCATCCCAGGGATCTCCACACAGGTATGTGTAGAACACAAGGCATTTATGTGGAGTGCAGCAACTGCATGTTGCTTTCTCTCAGTCTCTCTTAGTCTCAGCTAAGTGACTTTCCAGCGCTCCCGAGCTGAACTCCTAAGTCCCACCTGCAAAGCTGATGGCTGAATTAAAATAGTAATTCTTATTGTGACATATGAGCACAGCAGCCTTGCTCCTCTCTGCAGTGCAGCCTATCACACACCTTGGGGTGAGACATTTATCTGGTGGAGGAGCTGTTGTGTGGTGTGTGCAGGCAGTTCTGCTAGCAGACACCCCCCAAAGCACCCCGGCAGTGCTGCTGCACAACTTCTAAACCTCATGACAGAAGTGTGAGGTCTGCATTTGTCTATCAACCTGCATAAAAATTGTCAGTGCTGCCGCTCCCATCACTCCCCAGTTGATGCTCATAGCTCCTCACCAGGCACAGACTCCTAAGATCTGTCTCTCATTCCCAAGGGGCAGGATGAGATCCAGTGACCTGCGCTGGGCTCCACAGTCTGAGGCAGGTCTGGGAATGAACACTCACATTTCCTCTCGAGAAGGCACCATGAGACAAAGGCTGAACCTTTACAGCACTTTCAGTTGACAGCTGACTCCCCTGAATCCAGGCTTACAACCATGAAACAGCAAAGTAACATGACTACAAATAAATGACTGAAAGCAGTGAAAATACCAGAGATTTTTGGTAAGGAGCCTATACCAGACTGTGAAGGTACTTCTGCTGAAACTCTAATAACATCACTTGGTCAAAAAGCCTTAATCTGTATGTTCCTTTTCACAGTAGAGTGTAAATATCCACTAGGTGCCAACAACAGGATTATCCCCCGACCCTCTCTTTGGCCATGAAGAAGACAAATGCACAAAATCCTCCACAATTTGTATAAATTTTTTGTAACTCAGTAAAAAAAGAAAAAAAGAAGTTTAGAAGCATGAAGGGCTGTTCTAGGACTTTAATCTTTAGCTCGAGGGAAACCAGAATAAACTAGGAGCCAACACAGTTAAAGGCTTTAACGAAAAAAATCTTAATGTAAAAATTTCATCGACTGATAAGGAAGCGGGTTAGAGAGTGGAGGCTGACAGTCTCTGATCCAGGCTGATCTACTGTCCTGAGCTGTCTGAAGGGAACAAGATGCCACAGAAACACGGCCAAACAAGTGAATGTCTGAGCAGATTGCAGTAATCAAGCCTGATAATTCCCGAGGTATATGCTGCAAACATGAGGTTATTGTATTACAAATAAAACTGCAGCTTGCACATAGCCTGCACAGCTTTGGAGATACTTGCCCCAGGAGGAAAGTAGGCAGAGCCCCGTCATCCACCCTGCTTAGCCAAAAACCCTCTTGCAGGGACAACTGCAAAGGGGCAAACACCCCATGGAAGGAGTATTTGCAACCCTGCAAGCCTATTTTCCCGAGGCAGAGAGAGAAGGTGGTCCTGACACTCCACTGGCAGCACCTTCAGATTAGGGATTCTATCTGCAGCAGCTTTTGGAGGGAAGGAATGCTTTTCTCCTCTGATAGATCTGATCTGTTCTCACTTTACTTGCAATGAAGCTGGTTCTAGTTTATTACTTACAAATCCCCAAACTACTGCTTTATTTTAAAACAAAAAAAAAAAAAAAAAGAGAAAAGAAAAGAAGTCATGTTTTTTTGGAAGTGCAGAAGGGTTCTAAACAAAGTCAAGAACTGTTTGACAAATCTCCGAATTTGAAAATGTCCTTTTCTTCACACGCCCAGTTTCAATCCCCTAGTTTTGACAAGAGAACGTTTTATTACTTTTTTCCCCTGTATTGCACGAGTCACCCTGATGCAGATCACCTCACAGACCATCTCTCTCTCCTTTAGCATTCCCATAAGATCTCCGATGCAGTTGCACTCTCCAGATACGTGCTCGTGTATTTTTAGCTCTCCCTTAATTTGGCAATAAGAATACCTTGCAGCTTACTGTCAGCCAGCTTTTCACAGGCTGCGGTTTAAGTACTCATTTATTTCCTAGGACATGGGAAGGGCCTTTTCAGAGGCTGACAGCACCCACAAGCCCATCCAAACTGCTCATTGCTGAAATATCAGGTGGCAGTGCACAGCCCTGCTGCCTTCCTCTCCCCCTCCCCCTGGATAGCAGAGCTTATGGAGCACTTTCAAAACATCATACAATTCCCTAAGTGCTACACCCAGGCTGTTAAAAAAAAAAAAAAAAAAAAAAAAAAAGAAGGAAAATCAAACCCAGCTTTCCCTTCAGTTCTGCTGAGTTCTACCCATGCTCTGCATCACAGAGCAGATCAGTTCTCAGAACTGAGAAATTTCAGTGCCTAGTCTGTCACTGTCAAACAAACCCTTTTTATTTCACCCCAATACGCTTTCAAGGGCTTCCTCTATCCTTCCCTGCGCTCCCTCCCTTCCTCCACCCCCAGTCCCCAGGATACTGCACATAAACTGCAGAGCTGTGGCAGGAATAAGACTTCTTCATCACCATTCACCACCTTTAGGATTTTTGTAGGGACAACTTAAAAACCTGACTTGCAGGTTTTCAGATTTCTCCCGATCTCCCCGAATAAGTTCGATGCAACTGACTCCCCTCCCTGTTTATTGTTATTATCGTGAGATGAAACACTGTCAACTGATTTGTAACTATGATTTCATGATAAAGAGGAATGGTTGCTGGAAAAAGCTAAATTAGGCTCCCGGGGAAGGCAGAGGAACAAAAATCCATCTCGCTCAAATCATCATCCTTCTCAAAAATCAAAGGGAATGAAGATTTGATGTAATGAACTATATTGTGTTAGTGATTTAGAAGCATCTGTAAGTGGGATTAGTCCCTGATGGTGCTGAGCGTGGCATGAGGCACTGAGAACTCAGTTCTTGTTTGTGGTACAGGCAGTCCTTGGGAGGAAGAGTTGGGTAATATGCACTGGATCTCTTGCAAACTTTTAAAGACCACTCTTCCCCCCTTTCTCAGAAGCATGCACACAGTTCTACCAAAGACAGTAGCACAGACAGCACAAAAGGGCAAACTTGCCTCAGCTTAGGAAAAAAAAAAAAACAACTGAAAAATCAGTTTGGGGCAAATTAAGTATTGGGTGAATCAGTCTTTAAAAGCAAACTGACAGACAACATGCAGACAACAAGACAGTTAGGGGTCTAGGAGAAGGTAAAAAGAATACTTTTCTGGTGCTTTCTCACTTTGTAGCTTCATCCTAAAAGCATTCAGAGCTCCAGTAATTCAGGGCAGCACACACAGACTCAGGGAAAAAAAAAAAAGTAAAAAAAAAGTTGAGGTTTCAGAAGCTAAGAAACATTTCAGAACTCATATGTAGCACATCAGGAGTCGTAACTAGTTTTAGATTGGCATGTAAATTGTTCAGTGGAAAATTCTTATTGCCTCCGAGACCCTGCTATTCTGAGTTATTTGACAGTTTAAGGGAAATCATAATTAAAAAAAGAGACATAAATAATAGCCTGTGCAGTGTGGTGCACAGAAATAAGTGGAACCATTTCATTTAAACTCTGGTGAGCTTTTAATTGCCTGGATTGCATTGTGAACCAGCCTAACGGTTGATTGCCTCCATTATGCTCTCTTGTTCTGTGCCATTCATCCGCACAGTCTCAGCTTCTGTAGTTAACACAACAAAGTAACCGCAACTCCATAACACTCGGGCTTCTTTAAAAAAAAAAAATAAAAGTAAGGATTTCAGCACTCTGAATATAGCCTCTTCTGTATACTTTTGAGTTAATTTTCCTTGGTATATAACTAAACTTCACCTCCTGCCCATTCTTCTACAGAGGAATCGGCTTTTTTCTTTATTATTTTTGATTTTTTTTCCCCCCCCCCCACTCTAAATAAAGGATATGGGTTGGAAAGGAGGGGATGGAAAAAGAAAAAAAAAAGGAAACGAGAAGAGGCTAGGCAAAAAATAAAAATGGGAATGCAGTCCCACAGCTGGGAGCAGTGATACAGATTAAAAGAATTTGGCCAACATGGCTAGTCGATTGCCAAGAGACACCAAACAAAAGATTTCTCTTCTTCTTTTCCCCCTTCTCTTTTTGAAAGCTAGATTTGGCCTAAAAGCTTGTTTCTCTCTGTTCACTGGCCCAGAGCATCCCTGCAGGCTGTAGCCCCCTAAGGGACAGCACAGCAAATAGATGTACCCAGATCTCAGGGGCTGGAGCTGCTGAGCTATGTTCCTACCCCTGGCGTGTCCCCCCCATCTCTCTCCCCCAGCCCCCCCCTCCCACCACTCTCCCCCTCCTTTTTTAGAGCAGTGGTGCTGGGAACCAATTTGATTCCCTTTTTCTCCAATGCAGCTGCAAGGCTCAGAGATACTGACATTTTTCCACTCTTATCAGTTTAATTACAGTTACCATGGCAGCAAAGTGCTAGTGCTTGGCAAAGGCCAACAAGAGATTTGCAAGACTGAGTTCAATTTTGATGCAGCTCACATGCAAAATAAAAAAATAAATAAGAAACATATACTCCACAACAAAGAATCCCTTTCCGGAGTTAGACGCTCAAGCCTTTTATGCCAATTCCTTCCCGAGCATCGCAAGGATGGGGAGAGGGAGGTGTCGGGGACCGCACGTCGCGATGTTTGTTGCAGCCAGCAAAACGAATCGCTTTAAAGAGCGGTCCTACAGAGCTGTCCTAGGAAGCGGCATTTGGGGTCTCCTCGGAGCCACGGAGCCGCTGGCAGAGCGCTGAGAACGGGAGAGGACAGAAAAGAGGAGCCCCCCCCCCGCCTCCCCCCGGGAGCGCACCGCTGCGCGCCGGCCACCGCCGCCTTACCAAAACTTTTCTCCTTTTTCTGCATGAGTTGATTTACGGGCGCCTGGAGAGCTCCTTCTCATTGAAGCACCAAATCCCGGCAAAAGTAGCAAGTGCTTCCTCGGCTGGGGTCAAGTGAGCGGGAGCGCGGCGCGCCGCAGCGGGGGCGGGGGGCGGCGGGGCCGGGGTGCGCATGGGGGGGACGGCACACCCCGAGCGAGCCACGCAGCCACATGCTCCCCTAACTCTGCCCTAAGCCTATAATCCCAGCGGTCTCTTAGCTTTGTTGTAACAAATGGGTTTGATTAAACTGTCACATGCGGCGTTAGCATAGCGTATCGTGCTCGCTAGGAAGGGAAAAGGAGGGGGGGAAGAGAGGGAAAAAAAAAAAAAAAAATAAAGAGGAGAAAAGAGAAATGCTCGCAGCCAGAAGTACCGCTGCACAACGCCAGCTTGGCTGCCCTTCCCTGTCGGCGGCCCGGGAGAGGCAGGATGCGAGAGCCCGGAGCCCGCAGGCGGAGCGCGTCCCTGCCGGCCCCGCTGCCCCCCGGGCTCCCCGCCCCGCTCCTGCCTCCGCTCGGCCCAAAGGGTTAACCCTGCACCGAACCAGCTGCAAATTAAACTGCTGTACGGGGAGGCTTGTGGATTAAAGCCGGGGAGTGGGAAATTAACCGACTCCCTTGATAATTGTGAGCATGTTTCGAGAAGCTCTGGAAGAAGCAAGAATAATAATAACAATAATAACGGGGAGGGGGGGTGTAGCGGTGGGGCTGCAATTCATTGTTAACTTTGACTGCTATTTCTCGAGACGTACAGTCGGATGGGTTTCGCTCAGCATCCTCTGCTTGCATGTATTTCATGTCTCATCATAAAAATAATGAAGCCTCACATGATTTAAACAAAACAGTCTCAGCAGAGCTGCAGCTCGAGTGAAAGTTGCAGTGCGGAGATGTGTGTGTGTATTGCAGCCCCGGCTCATGACTCAGAGAGAGAGAGAGAGGGAGAGAGAGTGATGCAGGCACACATACACAAATGACCCAAAGCTTATGTACACAGTTGCCTCACTTACCTTCTCAATTAAGCGATACAGGGGAGGCAGTTCAATAAGCACAGTGGCTGCTTTGTAGCTCTTCTCCTTGGAAAAGGTCAAAAAGAAGCATTGTTTGGGGAAAAAAATAAAGAGGGGGTGGGAGAGATGGGGAGGGAGATCGCTATTCTTTAAGTTTAAAATAATGAGGTCCTCAAGGATCCGCCAAGTAATTGTGTTGACCGCATCCGAGCTACAGGTGTCCTCCTTTTAGTATCTTGCAGTCCAAGGCTGTCTGTCTCCGTCCTGGCTGAAGACAACTTACCTAAAGCAGCGTGTGAGGAGCCGAGTTGAATGAAGTCAGGGCTTTATCAGCTGCAAAATGCAATCCCTTACCAGCCAGACATAATACAGCGAAAGAAAAGGTCACTCAGTTATTACTGAGCCAGCAGAGCCCAGGCAGCTCTTGTGGAAGACCACAGAGAAGCAGCTCCCTTCCGATTTAAGGCTATTTACCTCTCTCCCCCTCCACCCACCCACCCACCCTTCCTCTCCCCCTTCCCCCCTCCCAACTCCCCCTTTCTCTCTCTCTCTCTCCCTCTCGCTTTTCTCTCTCGTTCTGCAGCTCGCTCAAGTACAGCCGCCCTCGGAAAGTGCAAAGCAGCCAGGAGACAGATTGGGCTTTGTTGGTAATTTCCCATGGTGAAAATTTACAAGCCTGCAAGTGCAGTCAGCAAAACCACATGCATATGCTAGACACAAACACCAGGGACACACACACACACACACACACAAGTGACCTCTGCCGAAGCAGCTCAGGATCACCTTCCCAAAGAGTGCTCCAGCAGCAGACCCGGGCAGCCAGGGGAGAGTCGCGCCCCCCACCCTCCATCACTCCTCCCAAAATACTTGGCTTCAGCAAAACCAGAAGTTGCCCACGCTAAAAAAAAAAAAAAAAAAAAAAAAAAAAAAAAAAAAAAAAAAAAAAAAAGGCAAGATCCATATCTCTCTATTAATGAGTAATGAGAAAAATCCCTGAAGGTGAAAACTCTGCCTCTCCCCGTGCTACATGTAAGCTGCTCAGGAAGCAGGGGAAACTCCGCTGAGAAAGTTTCCCGCTCGCTCCCCGGCACCGTCCCCGGCTGTGCCACCCCCGGGCCCCGCTTGCCACATGCCACCCCCCTCGCTGCACTTCTCAAGCCGAATGCTGGAGGAAGCCAAGCCATTTCCCCCCTACAGCATCCTCGTCCCAGGAGCTGAAGGCACACACTTATTCCCTACCTAGTGTTGGAAACGGGGGGGGGAAATAATAGACAGGGGGTTTGTTACAGGTGCTGAACACCCTTGACCACAAGACAGACAGACATGCAAGCACACGAGAGGTAGAGCATACTTTGATATTCAGTCACACTCACAGATGATTGTTCCTTCGTGTTTTATAATAAAGATGTTGAGCCTAGCCTACTGTAAATAAAGTTAAAAAAATCCAAAGCATCTTCCTCTAAGAGCCATCTGCAGTTGGAGAAAGACCAGATTAAGAATTTGTGAATACAGTTTTCAGACTTCAAAGTGAATATCTGTTGTCTGCTATTAGAAGCACCACGCTAGATTTCCACAAAGCTTTGAAAGATGTCAGCTTACAATATACCCTAAATTTGAATGACACTCATATTATAGAAGTCTTTCAAGACCCAAGAAAGATTTAAAAGCATTGAAGTGCTCTGCCATCTACACCTCTCCCTCGTATAATCCAGCAGCTCTAATAAAAATCAAAGCAACCTCAGAAATGTATATGTTTAGGACAGGTTCCCCCACCTCCCCCATTGTAAGCTTCTCTCTCTCTCTTTTTTTTTAATACATATAAATATACATATATAGAGGTTCCTGTAACAAGCATACTGTGCAATGAACAAATCCCTTGCCCCCTCTCCCTCTAAGTAGTAACAAAACTCAGCCACAACCAACCTGAGCAAGAACCCGAAAAGCACAACCAGAGGCAGCAGACTAACAGAGCCCCCTTCTGCAGATTTGATCTGCACATAGAGAAAAGCCAAACTTGACAGAAACCTGCTCCTCTCCTGCAGGCACCCATAGGCTCAGGAGAGCCTCACTTCCCTCTGTTTATAGACTACCTCTGCCACAACCACTCTGGAAATACAGCAGTGTGTGAGTGTGTGTGTGCCTCTCTCCACCAATGCACTTGGAGAAGGAGAAGAAAAGAGGGAGGGAGAAGTTATGTGTGGGGAAAGGGAGAAATAAAATCAAAACAAATGGTACAGCTAATGAGGACAATTAAATTAATTATGTTCAAGGAGATGAGATTTTTTTTCCCTCCAACTGTATGATCTGTTACCCCTCGCTGGCAACTGCTGCTCTGTAATTCATGGCAACTGATTAGTGCATCTATGCAAATCTTTGTTTAAATCATTCAACTAATTAAATGATGGGATTATTCCTCTGCCTACGGTGACATCATTCGCAGTAATTAGTACTCTATTTGGACTGTGGCAATAAGATACCCGATGTCAACACCAACCTGCAAAGACATTAACCACTTTGTCACTTTGTGTGTGTGTGTATGTGTGTGCATGTGCGGGGGGGAAAGAGAAAGGAACAAACACCCAGATCTAATTGCATCTTCCACCCCTCTTTACACTCCCCCCAGCCAATCAAGGATTTTTTTTTTTTAAAAAAAAATAAAAAAAAAGCCACACCAAAAAAAAAAAAACCCCTACAAAAAAACAACTTACTGAATAATATGCCAAACCACATGTGTAAAGGAATAAAATGGAATAGTTAACATTCAGCTCCATGCCATTCATTTCCCCCTAAAATGTAATGATAATTAGATGGGTCATAAAATGCTCTTCTTTTCATTATGACTGATGAAATGCATTAAAGCTGACAGGGTATTACCTGACAGTAATTAGGTTTTGTCATGAATTAAATTATTTGAAAGCAGGCTATCTCCCCAATCATGCAATTTACAGCAAGATTTTTTTTTTAATCTGTGCTACAGAAGAGAGAAAGAGAGATAGAAAATAGCAGTTTTTCTCTTCATAATCATATGAATTATTCACAGAAAAAAAAAAATCATCAGAAAAAAATCGTGCAGATGAAGAGGCTTGCCACTTAATGTACTGCACAGATGTGATCATCAGCGGTTGCCGACAATGAAATATACAAGTGCACACAAAAGTGATCTGGTGAACAAGAGGTGGAATTTAATCATCTTCTCCTGACACTTGCGCGAAAAACACCATTAACCCTCACCAAGTCCCCTGTTTTCCCCTGCCCACCCCCTCCCCATACACACGCACACAAAAAGTGAAAAGAAAAGAAATTGTGCTTTTGTTTACTCAGCCAAGCTAAAGGTTGGTTCCAGCCAGCCAAGCAATTTCTTCATTTCCAGTGTAAACTACCCAGTTTAATTACAGATCCCTAGAAAAATCTTTGCTAAAGGATTGCTGTAAAGACCTAGGGGTTTTTGGTCCGATTACCCTTTGCTTGAGCCTGTGTTTCAGCAGCTCATAATACTTGCCATTTGATAAAATTTACTTAATTTTTTAAAAGGTTTTCTGCAATAATCTCAGCCCTGTATCTCTACAGAAGAGTGGGGGAAAAAAAAGAATAACTTACCTTTTAGAAAAAGAAACACTCCACAGGAAAAAAATAGAGATTCAAAAGGTTTCTTTCTCTTTCTCCCCTAAAGTTTTCAGCTCACTCTTTTGGGGGGAGGGAAAGGATAAAAAAAAAAAAGTACAAGAAGAGACTTCACAGTTTGAGCTTTTTCTCCCCGTTCAATAGTCAGATATTTCTGTATAGTCCAAAAGATGCAGGTGAGACGCAGTCTTTATTGTGCAACAAAAAAATATACAGAACGCAAAAAAAACCCAACAGTTTGATTTCTGTAAAGTCCAATTAAAAATAACAACAAAAACTCAGTTCAATGGGGGAAAAAAATGGAGCTTGTACTACTCCCCACTTCTCCCCCTGGTTTAATTGCACCAGCATGGATGAAAGGAGCCCCTGGCTTTGCTTTCCCTTTTTTTTTTTCCCTTCCTCCCTGTCTCTTCTTCCTCCTCACTTTCTTCCCCAGCTGAAAAGAAAACCTGAGTGGGCCAGTTCTGCTTCTCCAGTATTTAAACACCTCACCAGGTCCCTAGTTAGCAGCTTCCTTCAGCTCATCCAAGAAGCTGACAAGTACTGTTAGAGGAGGCTGTACATGTTGCTCTAATGGACCTCATTAAGTTCTACTTACAGATGTTCTCTTAACATAATTGATCTGCGGTGAGTTGAGAGGACTGCAACTTATTCCCTAGCCCCCAATTATGGTTGGGTAATTAGATCCCCAACCTCCAATTTTTCACATTCACCCTTCTAACATTCCAAAATATCAAAGTATCTCTTTCTCACCAAAGCTCCCCCCCTTACCGGACTCCACTCCACTCACTGTATTGACAGTTAGATCTGCTCTAACCTTTGTAGTGACGCCAGTTTTAATGGTGCATTCAGTCCATTGACAGAGCTCTGGATTTTTTTTTTCCCCCCTTCTCTCCTTTTCTCTTTTCTTCCTCTCTCTTTTTTATTTTTTTTTCCTTTTTTTTTTTAACCCTCAGAAACAAAAGGGTGAAAAAAAAAAAAACTAACTTGTATAGTTTGTACTTTTGATAAAAGGTTCCACTGATGAGCTTTGGCAGTGGAGGTTCTTTTCTAATGTCTTTTTATCTGTATTAATTCCTCAGATGAAAACTTTAAGGAACAATGAAGGAGAGAGGTACTGCTCTGAAACGGTGAGAAGAAAAAAATTACACAGCACACCTGGGACAGATGAAGCCAAACTAGTGCTTTTATAATGCCAATCAGCAGGGCTGTTATCATCCCTCTAATTAGGAAAGCAGCCTAAAACAGAGAGCACTTGGGGAAATGGTAATGTTATGGTTTTGCACTTAAAAGGGGAGACATTTCCTGCACTGTAAGAATCCAGGATTGGGGCTGACAAGTCCTTTAATTAATGGGCAGGATTCCCTGCGTGTGCAAGTGTGTGTGCATGTTTCAATTCATAAAAGTGGACAAAGGGGGCTATTTGGGAGGGGTGGGGTGGAGGGAGGGGGAGAGAGGCAGAAAAAGGAAGGGGAAAAAACAGTCCATTAGTTTGAAGGAGAACAGAGTTCACAGCTACCTTCATTTTATTTAACCCCCAAAGGATTGAAACGTGGAGCTGCAGCGAGCTGTTTGCCAGAGATTTGAAAGCTACAGTAGAAAAAGCCCAAGGCCATCAGACAAACAAAAAAGTTTGGGAGAGCGCGCATCCTGAATTTGATAACACCTCCCATCCCCTGCAGTTGGCGGGTCCCTCGCCTCTCCCTCTCCTGCCTGGAGCTCACGGTCCCAGCGTAGCACACGAGCTTTTCATGGTTCTCCTTGCACACTGAGCAATGGGGCTCATTTTCAGCGCTCACACTGCATTCCTCAGGGCCCTTTTGCAGGCACCCTGCCCTCCTCCCAGTCACCCAC